ACGCCAATCGCGATCACTTCGAAATGGGTATCAAAGACCTCGCATTGGGCGAAATGATGTACCCTGGAGTGCTCGAACGCATCTTGACCAACCCTGTCGACGGCTTGGAGAACTATGAAGAAATGATGCGTCTCTTGGTCGAAGACAATACGGCACTCAAAGTGTTCGTGAACGTCGCCTCCGAATAGGCTGACACGTTAGACAATTGAATTGAGGCCCGTCGTTGGAAATGGAATCGAACCGATTCTTATCACCATCGCGGGCCTTGAGCTTGCGCATCGACATTCCCTCGCGTGCCCGATCTGCTAGAATATGCCCCAGCAGACTTGCAAGGGATTCTTCTCTTTTTTACCCCACCGATATGCAGGACGACCCGATATGAAAAAGCCAACCAGTGGCGGCGGCTGGCAAGCGATCCGGTACACGTTTCAAAAAGCACGAGAGTCGGGCGGGTATTGGAAGTTCTGGAAAGCCATGCGAAGCAAGAACGCTTGCAAGACATGCGCCTTGGGAATGGGAGGGCAAAAAGGGGGAATGGTCAACGAGCAAGGGACGTTTCCCGAGGTCTGCAAAAAATCGATGCAGGCGATGGCCGCTGACATGCAGGGAGCCATCCCGGAAGACTGTTGGACAACTTACAGTGTTGCTCAACTTCAGAAGTTTACCCCGTACCAGATGGAGCATGCCGGCCGAATCACGCAGCCGATGCTCTGGGAATCAGGGACTCAGCGTTACCGCCCAATAGCATGGGACGAAGCCTTCGCTCGGGTCATCAACAAACTAAAATCCCTGACCGCGGATGAAACATTCTGGTACTTCAGCGGGCGTAGCAGCATGGAGGCCGGCTTCCTGCTGCAACTCTTCGCCCGTCTGTATGGCACCAACAATGTCAACAACTGCAGTTACTATTGCCACCAGGCAAGCGGTGTCGGACTAGCGAGCACCGTTGGCAGCGGCACCGCGACAATCGTTCTGGATGACGTGGAACATGCCGACTTAGTCTTTCTGATCGGTGGTAACCCGGCCAGCAATCATCCGCGATTAATGTCGACGTTGAAGCATGTTCGACGTCGCGGCGGTGAAGTGATCGTGATCAATCCCGTTGTCGAAACGGGCCTGGTCAACTTTCGAGTTCCCAGCGATCCGATTAGCCTTCTGTTTGGAACGAAGATCGCCACGCTCTACGTTCAACCTGATATTGGAGGCGATCTCGCGCTTCTGTACGGCATCGCCAAACGCGTGCTGGAACTAGGAGGACAAGACCAACCATTTCTGGACAACCACTGCGAAAACACCGA